TATCAACCCCAAGTCTAAAACAGCTTTTAAAAATATCAGAACTCAGTTTATATAAATAAATAGTCATGAGATGTGGAATTTTAGTGTTCAACTAAATACATTTTCTCAGAAGAAAAGTTGGACCCTGCAAAGTCCATTTTTATGAAATTAGAGTCCATTTTGTTTCCTCACAGGTGGAGTGCTAGATCCAGGCTTAAAGAGAAGTAAGATGCAAACCATACTTTAATGCTTTGTTCTTAAAGTAGAATCTGTGTTACAATAAAGCACAACTAGAGCAAAATGTGTGTTCATTATTCTGATAGCCTCTGTTATTTTATCACCCACTTTTCTAATATAATAGCTTTCTAGGTTGTCAGTTGTAATGTAGACACTTGGTAAAAGCTCTGTTCTTGGTTGTACTTGCGCTCAATGTTAGCAGCAGTAAAATAGCTTTCATGTTCTTTAGAATTTGAAGGAGGGTTGGGATGATACATAAGTCTCCCTTGTGTCCACTCAGTTGCAAGCATTTGTGTTCCAGGCACTGTGAGGCGTGAGGAGACAGAGAGGCATAGGATACACCCCTTGCCCTAAAGGAGGCGCAGTCCAGCTGGGGAAATAAACACGCAATTGATTATAAACCAAACACTGGAGTTAGTGCTGTAGCAAAGGTACAAATAAAGGACTAAAGGAGCATAGAAAGAAGGATGATTAATTCTGCAGGGAGTGGACCATTGCGGGAGGTGACACAAAGCCGAAGGCTTCACAGAAGGGCCAGCATCTGAGCTCAGCTCTGAAGGATGAATAGAGTTTTGATAGGCCCAAAGGACATGACAGGACATTCCAGGAAGCAGAAACGTCATGCACAGGGAGTTAGTGGGGGAGGTACAATTCCTGACATAGTTGGTAAGTGTTCTGTATGGTGCTTCAGGGGTGGTAGCAGAAGGTAGGTCATGGCCAAATCTTCCAGGGTCATCAGTTTCATATTAGGGAATGTGTATTTTAATCTTTAATAGAGATCAGACTGCAAGGATGGAAAAACGATCGCTAAAACCAAAGAAATCAGTTAGGAGCCTGTAGAAAATAACCCCAGGAAGAAATATCAAGTTTATGAAACAGGACAATGGCAACGAGAAAGGAGAGGTTAGATCTGAAAGGCCCTGTAGAGAGAGAATGTAGTGGTCTGAGGTTGAGTGAAAGGGAGGAGCTGATGATTCTTAGGTTTCATGTTTGGGTGCCTAAGCAGATAGGAGGATAGCACTAAAGAAAAGCAGTTTGGGAGGGGAATATAATGGTTTAAGTTAAGGACTTGTGTTGTGAAGTAGAAAATACAGGTAGAGATTCCAGTAGACCTAACACCTAGGTAGATTTTGGAGCTGGAGATGTAGGTCTCACATCATCTTTCTGTGAAGGTGAGCACTGAGAGATAAGCTCACCCATACAGATCAAGATAAAGAGACCAAAAAAGAAATCTAGAGGGTTATCTCCAGTTAAGCAGTGCAATCTCTGTGTCTCTTGATCAATATAAGATTGTCTTATTTATCCAGTTTTTATTTTTCTCATTTGAAGTTTATACGTAACTAAGAATAGAAATCTAAGTGATTCCTATAACAGAACTAATAGCATAATAAAACGAATGCAGAAGATTTATACAGCATTGCACAGTTTTACAGAGTCCTTTCATATAACACAAGGGCAGAGAACTGTTTGAGATCTCAGTGAAAAAACATTATCAGCAATGCCTTCCAGGCTCCCTTCTGAAACCTCTAACCCCAGTATTTTGTGTTAGTTTCCTCCATTTCTTGCTGGCTCTGCATACGGACTTATTTAATCCTCACAACATTCGGGATAAGCAGGCTCTGATCCCCACCGTACAGATGAGAAAGTCAGGGTGACTGATTGATCTGCCTCAAGTAACATCACTGTAGGTATATTCTATTAAGTGGTAAATGAACCCAAACTTTCATAATACAATTATCCCATAAGTATTAGTTATATAATACTGTATAACAGTTTACCCAAAACTTAGCAGCTGAAAACAACAGTAAACATTTATCATGTCACACAGTTTCTGTGGGGAACTCTGGAGTGGCTGGTTGGGTTGTTCTGGGTCAGGGTCTCGCAGGAAGTTGCAGTCAAGGAGACAGCCAGAGCTGCGGCCATGTGAAGGTTTGAGTGAGGCTAGAGAATGGGCTGCTCATGTGCGGGCAAGTTGATGCTGACTGCTGGCAGGAGGTCTCAGTTCCTCATTGGTTGTTGACTGGAGCCCTTGGTTCCTCACTGGCTATGAACAGGAGGTCTCAGTTCCTCTTTGGCTGTTGACGGAGGCCTCAATTCCCCATTGGCTGTTGACTAGAGGCCTCAGTTCCTCATTGGCTGTTGACAGGAGGCCTCAGTTCCTTGCCACATGGGTCTCTCCCTTGGGCTGCTTGGATGTCCTTGTAACATATTATCTGGCTTTCCTCAGAGGAAGTACTCTGAGAGACAACAAAATGGAAGCCACAATGTTTTTTGAGGCCCAACCTTGGAAGTCACACTTGATTATTTCTGCAAAACCCTACTGTTTACAAGTCGGTCTAATTCAGTGTGGGAGCAGACAACACAAGGATACAAATGCCAGGAGGTGGGAAGACGAGGATCATGGGGGTCACCTTGGAGGCTGGCTACCACACCCTGTTATTAATCTTCAATACATTCATTGTCAACTTTAAGGATGTATGATGCATTCTTAGACAAGTTAAAGACTCTCCCAAAAGATGGGGTTTTTTAAACATCTTTTTTATATTTTTTAATAATTCAGGACTTGAATAGCATTTTTGAAAATTCATGAAAGTGTTTGAGGCCTCTAGTACACAAAAATTTATAATCAAAGGTACATAGTGGCTTGCCCAATAAAAATCTTAAATGAGGAGGTACCCCATCATACTTGGTAATGAATGAAACCTTTAAATGGGCCATTCATGCCATTTATCTGTTTGTATCATTGAAATAAATTGCATCAAACAAGTCCTCTGGAAATCACCCAAATGAATAGAATGTGAGATTAATCAAGATGCCAGTTAAATGAATTCTACACTTTGGGCAGCTGCACAAGGGAAGGATTATACGTTTTCCACCTTACAGTCTAGGATTTTAAAAGACACGAAGGGCTGGTAGAAAAACTTAAAGTTTACATGCAGCTTCCATAAACTCTCAGTAACTAGCTCCATCTGTGACAAGTTGATAAATGACAAGAAGGTGATGGCTGGAAGGGTGGCCCTCACTTACTCATCACAAAACCAAGGCTCTCACCTCAACTGTGGTGTTTACACTGCCCTGGTGCAATGTTTCCGATCTAAGCCTGTAAACATGCTGAAGTGTCCCAGAAACCCTGACTAAACTCCTGCCCAAACTGTTACCTCATCTCATTCATGTTTGTGCTGGCAAATGTCGTGAACAAGTCATTTCCTCCTCAGCCTCATCTTCCTCATCGCCCACTGCTCTTCAGACCCTCACAGCCTCTTACTATCCCTTCTCTGCTAAAACGTCTCACTCATAGTCTAGCAACAACCGCGTGAACTCAGCGGTATCGGATGCTGTTGGCACCCCTGATATTTCTTAAAACTTTATTTATGGTACATGTCTTTGTGCTCTTTCGATCTCCGGGGAGGTCTGCTTCTCCTTCTGTCTTCTCATCGTCCTTCATCACAAAACAAGAGTAGAATTTTTGTTTTCTTGGTCACTGTCTTCAGCCCAGCCCTCTGTTCTGTCTGTCTTTACGCTTCCATGTCCCCCCTCAGCTCCAGCCATCTTCTCAAGATGGACATTTTCTGCATCTATAATTTCGGTTTTGATCTCTCTCCCAAGCTCCATCTCCTGGTAGCACTTCAAACTTATGAAGTCTAAAAGTGAACTCATCCTTCCCATGCTCCCACCCTATTTTACCATTTCCCCAAATTGCATCGCCACATCCAAAGTCAACTAGCAGCCATTCATCTTGACCTTTCCTTTTCCTTTGCACTTCACATTCTGTAAACTCCTGGGCCCTATAGGTTCTGCCTTCCCACCGTCTCCTACACCCCTCACTTCCCTACTCTCTGCTCCCACTGTCATATGCAACCAATGACCTCTTGCCCCACCTCTGGGACAGGGGTCCCCAACTCCCCGGCCGCAGACCTTCGGAGCCAGGCTGCAGGAGGTGAGCGGCGAGCGAGCGAGCAAGGCTTCATCTGCCGCTCCCCATCGCTCCCCACCGCTCCCCATCGCTCGCATTACCCCGTGAACCATCCCTCCCCTCCCTCGTCCGTGGAAAAATTGTTTTCCACGAAACCGGTCCCTGGTGCCAAAAAGGTTGGGGACTGCTGCTCTAGGATACTTCCTCCTATGGAAAGCTACTCTCATTCAGGTTTTTAAAGCAAGCCCTAAACATGACCCTTCTTGCTCAAATAGCCTTGTCCTACATAGCCCATTACTGTTTCTTTTGCCAAGAATCGATCCTTTCCCCTTTTCAAATTCCCCAAATCACATGTATCTCTCAAGGTCCAAATCAAATACTACTTTCTCCGTAACTTCATAGGCACGCTTTTATTTCTTAAAATAATCGTTTTATCCTCTCATGTCTTTAAACATTTATACCCTTTGGGGGCACATCTCATTTCATGTTATATTGTCTGTCCTTTACCTTCCCAAGTATGTTGTAAGAGGCCATGGTCTTATCTCAGTCAGGTGTCTACCCCCATGTAGAACAGTTTGTTCTATGGGGATTTGCACCTTGTAGGTTTATTGTTGAGTAAATGGCTCTTACTAACAAGATTTTTTAAACCCAGAAGCATGTTTAATGCATACTCATTAATTTTTGACTTTCGTAAATTGATTTGAGAATATTTTTCACCCCTTTCCTTTGTGCCCAGTCATCTCTAGAAGAAAGTTGGACACGGCTGACCTAGTGACTGTGTCTGGAAATTACCATAAATTGGGCTTTCGTCTTAGTTGCATCATATTCTCATGGCTGCACATTGCAACTGATCTGCCACTTCTTATTTCAGGGAGAGTGGAGCAGAAAAGAGAACAAAGAGCAGCTTCAGGTAAGATGTTGACTAATTGGCCTCAGCTTTATGTCGTGTTTTTACTTCCACCTTGAAAAAAAAAATCTATTTGCAATGTAGTATTCAAAAACTCACCTAAAAATGTAATAGTTTATAATCCTAGACTTGACTGATTTTAAATTAATTAAAATGAATGAATGCACTTAGCTTTTTCACTTCCACATCAGTCATGTCCTTTTCTTTCTATTCAAACAAAAATTTTTTTTGTTTGTTGAATCTTTTGTTTGAATCTTTTGTTGAATCTTTCTATTCAAACAAAAATGAGATGGTCTGTTATTTAATTTTTCCATGATTATCCATTTAAAAGGTAAGTGTTGCAAGCACTATTTCAAAATATGAAGGTTGTAATCGTTGACAACTATTTCATCTTCCCAAATACATATGAATCTCGATTATTTTTCTTAAACCCATTTATGTAGCTAATGTTTTTCAGGACAGTGTCAACTACTTAACCAAGAAGAATCTTTATATTTTGGAGAAATTTTAAAAAACATTCCACTTCTAAATCCTAATATATATTCAGAAGTGAGCGATGCTTTGGCGCAATGCCATTGCACATAGTAGGGGCTAATATTTGCTATCTAATACAAAAATGAGTCTTTACATTTCCATATTTTCATCACTTGGCTTTTGGCTTAAAGTCATAAGGTAAGATAAATTTACCAATTAAATCTATGCATAAGGGCAGTCTTCCAGCTCCCAATGCCCTAAAATTGTCAAAATTTATAGAGAATTCTAATTTGGCATATACACCTATGCCCACCACCCTTCCGAAGTCTTCACCAACCCACTATTTTATGATATGTGAGGACGCCCAACATAAAGACACATTACTCCCAAACACCATCTTTTTTCAATTTTTAGTCTGGTAACAATGTATTATGTGTGTTTCCAAACAGTGAAGTCAACAGAAGACCAAAATGTGTGTTAATCAAAAAATGTATAAATAGCCTAAGCCCCTGTCTCTTTTCTCCTTCCCAACCTTAGCATTCATCTCAGACAACTGGGCAACTTACTACCTGCATGATTTCCCTCTTAGATGTTATTGTTTGCATTCTCCTTTTGGCTCTTTTAAAACCTGATCACGAATACCAAAAAAAATGTGTAGGCAAGCAAGTATCTGGTGTCCTCACAGATGTGCTTTCCTCTATTATTGCTCCTTGGGGGAAAATTATTTATACTGTTTCTGAAATGCTATTGCTATGATCCTGTAGTTATGGGCTTAAAGAAACTTTATAGTTGGGAAGAAAGCTAAATTGGCCAAAGTGTTAAACCAAATGCCTCTTTAAGTTCCCTCCATGCTCATAGATTCTGATATGCTGTGTGACCAAGGTGACACAAAGGACTAGAGAGAGAGGCAGGAAATGAACTCAGATTTCTTCATTCCTTATTCTTCCCAGTGTCCCCCATTCCTAAGCTTTCTTTTTAAATCATAGTGCTAGTCAATTTGACACTGTATTAGGTTTCTTGCTTAGTAAAATATTTTTCAACAGTTGGAAAATCTTTTTAAGGCAACAGGGAACACTAATCACCAGGGTTCTGAGGAAACTCCCTTTATTAATGGAGCTAATTTTCCCCAACTGATTCACAGCTTGTCAATGTGTCCCATTTCTATGAGAAAGTGAAAGAAACTTTCTATGAGAAAGTGAGGTCAAGGAGAACTAATGGACAGAGCTCAAATTATTGGGGAATTTTTTTTGACTCCTCATTTCAAAGAACACAAATCCTGCCCTCGGGAAATCTACATTTGTAAAGATAGTCTGAGTTTTCAAAATTGAGACATAACCTTTTCAAGTGTGGTCCTAAGTATCACCATGTTCAATTTGTGGTGATAGAATGAATGTCTGCCTCTTTATAAAACATGTGCCTGAGATACCAAGAACATCATGGGCATCCCTGCTTCTCACTTCCTGCCTGGACTTCTTTACATCATTCGTTGTTCATTCTGCTCAGATTCTATGTCCTGCCTGCTGTATTAGACAATACACCCCACACCCTTTTGCTTATATTGGGTCTATCTCCCAGTATGGGAGAAAGAATTTAGAAGAAAAATACTGTAGACAAAAAAAAAAAAAAAAAAACCCCCATTAAAAAAGGGACTTCCAGGACCCTCTTTGAGGAATAGTGGTATCCTTTGGTATGTGAAGGGAGTGGCATTTTTTATTTTAAAGTTTTTTTTTTTTTCTGTTTTTGTATCTTATCCGGGTCAGTTTTAAGGGGATGGGTTTCTTAAAATCTCATTCCTGTGTGCTATTTTTTCTTTGTACAGTTTCTAGACTCAAACATAAAAAGGCAGTATCATAACATATATTAGAGTAGTGCCATCCATAGAACTTTCTGCAGTGTTAGAAATGTTCAGTCTCCACACTGTCCAGCATAGTAGCCACTAGCCACATGTAGCTACTGAGCAGTGAAATGTGGCTTGTGTGAAGAATTCTAAATTTTAATAAATCAAACAAGGAGGGATCTAGGAAGTAGGTTGATGGAGAACTAAAGAATGCAGCTATTAAATCTGGCTGAGAAAATAGTGAAGGTGATACTGTTTCGGTGTGTAATGCACATACCTGCCTGCCTTCAAGGAAGATTATTGCCTGTAAATATTACTGAGGATCTGCTGGGGATTTTTGTAAGGAAAAAAAAAAAAAAAAAAAAAATCCCCATTAAAATAGGGACTTCCAGGACCCTCAACTTTTTGGGTAGGTAAAGTTGGTTAATTCTTCATTTAAAGAATCTTGCACTAAGATGAAAGTTACAGAGGTAAATTTTTACTCAGAAAAATAAATAACTTTCTAACAAGGAAACCTCTCCAGGACTGGAAAGAATGAGATTGTGTGAGTAAAACTGTACAAAGGTTGGGCCATCACCTGCAAGGGATGTTGATAAGAGATTCATGAAGAGTTTGGTTGGATCATTCCTAAAGTTCTTTCCAATTTTATGTCTATGATTCTACTTACCGTTATTACTTTATTGAAATGGTTCTACTGTGTGTGTACGGATCAACACAAAATAAAGCCTTCTAAATGGCTCACATTATATAACTGAATGAATCATGTTCCAAAACTTAGCTAAATCAGTTTAGACTGAGTTGCTTAGTAGAGCATATAATTAATAGGGCTAAGACTATGAAATAAAATTCTTCTATAAGATATTTAGCTTCTTTGGGGGAAAAAGTTGTTGTTTGCACCCTGATTGCAACCCCAGCTGTCATTTCAAGTATGATGCTGTTTTCGATAAGCCAGGAATGAGTCACAAGAGAATATGTATAACCTGATATCATTTTTGAAAAGCTACGGTAAGCTTAGTCATTTTTGAAAAATAATTCAAAGCATATGCCTCCTGACATTGGATTTGGAAACCCGTGTCAAATTCGTAAAACATGGCCAGCAACATCAAAGCTAAATTTGGCTATTTGGGTTGGTAAAGAATATTAAAAATATGTGGTGGTGTAATGGTAAACAGACAAATATTAGGAGTCGTGTTACTGATATCGTCAATTACCTATTCGCCCTTGATTATTTTAAGGACCCAATGTCCTCACCAGAAAAATAGAAGAAAAAAGAAAAAAAAAAAACAGCTATATTCCATAGATTTCTGCCTAAAACCTTTATTGAGTTTGAAGTGTTTTTATCTTATTAGAAAAATCCCTTTTGAGGTCAAGGAATTCTTGCTCTTTAAAAAGCAACACAGGGCTTCCCTGGTGGCGCAGTGGTTGAGAGTCCGCCTGCCGATGCAGGGGACGCGGGTTCGTGCCCTGGTCCGGGAAGATCCCACATGCCGCAGAGCGGCTGGGCCCGTGAGCCATGGCCGCTGAGCCTGCACGTCCGGAGCCTGTGCTCCGCAACGGGAGAGGCCACAACAATGAGAGGCCCGCGTACCGCAAAAAAAAAAAAAAAAAAAAAAAAAAAAAGCAACACAGCACAAAATACAAAAAATTCTCACAGAGAAAGGTGTTCCATAAATTATTATTTAGAAAAAGATAAATTAGAAGGGTACTACTAGGGTACTACCCTACTAGGGTAGGCTATACAGACTCCATCTGTTAAATATATATTGTTCCAATTTTTCCAAAAAGGAGAACACTTTCAAATCCAGTTAAGTATTAAGTAAAGAATAACCCTAGTGGACCAGAGAATGGAGTCATCAGTATAGATGATAGTGAGTGTTTCAAAATGAATTTGCCTCCTTTTCATTTATGACATTAGAACATCCCTAAAGTTCAAGATGTTTTTTTCATTTGCATAATTTGCAAAAAGTAACCGGTAAAGAAGAACAATGCTATTTTTTTCTCAACTTTAAAGGTGGAATTTATTATTGGAAATTCAGCAAATGGTAGAACATCTGCTTTGCAAGTTTAGATCTTGCTACTTACTCTTTGACTGGGCTTTTCGCTTCTGTGAAATGTTCTAAAACAGAAATAGCACCTCCATTTTAAAACTTTTAAACACACATTGAACATGCAGTCATTCAGGTTTTTAAAAAGTTAGATACTGAATAAATCCTTCCATCTGTGCAGGAATAGCATGTTCATTTTCTTACACGTTACTCATTTATTGAACGCAAATTTTCACGTGGATGCATATCTAGCGTGATTTTCATCTGTGCTGTTACTATTTTGTAATGCTTTTTGCCACAGTTCCGATACCTCAAAAAACCCTCAAAAATGAACATGAGAACACCTAATTTGTCATTGTCTTCATTACTGGTGACCAACAGGACACATGAAGTTAGCAGGCAGGTTGTGTTGCAACAAATATGCTTAAGTAAACTATCATTCTTGAAAAGTCTATCATTTCTTGGATTTTAATATTTTTTAATATTCTACATGTTTTATTCTCACTTTGAAAATCATTATTCCAGTTAGAATCAAGGTTGAAAATGCATACCATCCCAACTTGTTCATAGCTTGCAAAAGCTCTTGTCACTTAATAATACTACATAACATATCTGAAGGTTGCTAAGAAAGTAGATCTTAAAAGTTC